CCCCCAGAGGGGTCTGCCAGAGAGACTGCAACTGGCCGGCTAAGCGGCGTGAGTGTGGTGCGGTCTCGAAAGAAGGAGCGAGAAGCCCCCGAGTCAAGGGTGAAGGTGTGGGAGGCCGAAGCCGACGCAGAACCTGAGAGAGCAGACTCACCAGCACCTGAGGGAGCAGACGCACCTAGAGCAGCAGCCTCGCTAGCACCTAGAGCAGCAGCCTCACCAGTACCTAGAGCAGCAGTCTCAATGCCCGGGTCGGGCGGAAAACACCGGTAACAGTCACCCTCATCACTAATAGTCACAGTATACATGGCAGCAAGAATAGCATCAAAGTCAAGGTCAAAGACAGCCACACCTGCCCTAGACAGCTCACCCCAGCGGGGGATCTCAGTGGCCTCAGGGAACTGGTGACGCCAAGCGTCCGTCAGGCGGCCAAAGCAGCGCTGGGTGGAGTGCGCACCCCCGCACTGCTCACCTGCGCGGTCGCCGGTGCGGAGGACGTAGGTGCACGGACCAGTACCCCCACCCCTCTGGCGTGCAGTGTACCACTCACGGAGCTGCTGAGGGGAGGGGATGTCACGAGTGCGCTGCTGGTGCTGCTGCTGCTGCTGGCGCTGACCACCACCGGAGCCGACCCTCTGCGCAGCGCCACCCCGACCAGCTCCACCTCCTCCGCCGCCTCCTCCTCCACCGCCGCCACCTCCGCTCCCTCCGCCACTGCCGCTGCCGCCTCCGCCTCCACTGCCGCCACCGACACCTCCACCCCCGCCACCACCCCCACCGCCACCCCCACCTCCTCCACCGCCTCCACTGCCGCCTCCACCGCCCCCGCTAGCTCCTCCAGCGCCCCTGCCCCCCTTGCCCTTGCCAGGGCGGCGTCTCCCGCTAGGGGTAGACGCCGCACCGACCGACTCAAGCCCAACGAGGTCGGCCGCAGCAGCAGAGGCAACAGAGGGCAAAAGGGGGGAGGGGGAACACCCCTCAAAGATGGGGGTGCGAGGGTCACCACGAGAGGCTCCTACAGCTACTATGCTCTTCTCTGCTGCTAGGAGGGACTTCTCGAGGAGGTCAACGGTGAGAGTGGTGGGGCAAACTGAGAGGAAGTGGTCCCTGACTACGCGAAGGGAGTCAGGGAGCCGGGTGACTATGTAGTAGAGGGTGATGTACATGGGGGGGGGGTTCTTGGCGCAGAACTCAGCAGGAAGCGCAGCGCGGTAGCGAGTGTCACTAGTGCGTAGGTGCGTAATGAGGTCAGTGACTGTGGGAAAGGCAGCAAGGTCAGGGAAGAGGTACGGTAGCATGAGGCGACTCAGTGCAGCAGTGGCAGGGGAGGAGTAGCGTGCAACTACAGCGTCGTACAAGGTCTGAGCACTCTTGTACTGGCTAAAGTGCGCACGCTCAGAGGTAGGCAGGTGGCGACGCACAGCAAGACGTGCAGCAGCATCGCGCGTGGCCCACTGGGAGCGAACAGTTGCGTCAGCATCAGTGGCGGGGGCAGGAGAGGCACCAGAAGTGAGGTCAAAGAGGGAGAGGCCGTCTGCCCTATCGCACTGTAAGAAAAGCTGCAGGTCATCTATCCAGACGTCAAAGTCAATGGCCCGACCCTCAGCGTCAAAAGCGAGGACACTAGGGGTAGCCATGACAGCAGTAGACTAGCAGCGCAAACAGTGGGGTGAGGGCAGTGCTGTGAGAGAGGCGCTGCTCTTACCGGACAGGGCGGCTCGGGCGGCTCGGCTGCAGGGCGGCTCGGCGACTCGGCTGCTGGGCGGCTCGGCTGCTGGGCGGCTCAGCGGCTCGGCTGCTGGGCGGCTCGGCGGCTCTGCTGCTGGGCGGCTCGGCTGCTGGGCGGCTCGGCGGCTCGGCTGCTGGGCGGCTCGGTGGCTCAGCTGCTGGGCGGCTAGGCTGCTGGGCGGCTCGGCGGGGCCGCTGAGAGGGCGGCGTCCGGGGCCGCTGGGAGGAGGCGGCGGGGCCGCTGAGAGGAGGCGGCGTGGCCGGAAAGGTAGGTGGCGGGGCCGCGTCAGGGGCCGCGACAGGGGCCGCGTCAGGGGCCACGTCAGGGGCCGCGGCAGGGGCCGCGTCAGGGGCCGCGGCAGGGCCGCGTCAGGGCGCCGCGTCAGGGGCCGCGTTAGGGCGCCGCCAGGGGCCGCGGCAGGGCCGCGTCAGGGCCGCGGAAGGGGCCGCGGCAGGGGCCGCGTCAGGGGCCGCGTCAGGGCCGCGTCAGGGCCGCGGCAGAGCCGCGTCAGGGCCGCGTCAGGGGCCGCTTCAGGGCCGCGGCAGGGGCCGTAGCAGGCCGCGTCAGGGCCGCGTCAGGGGCCGCGGCAGGGCCGCGTCAGGGCCGCAGCAGGGGCCGCGTCAGGGCGCCGCGTCAGGGGCCGCGTCAGGGCGCCGCCAGGGGCCGCGGCAGGGCCGCGTCAGGGCCGCGTCAGGGCCGCGGCAGAGCCGCGTCAGGGCCGCGTCAGGGGCCGCTTCAGGGCCGCGGCAGGGGCCGCGGCAGGCCGCGTCAGGGCCGCGTCAGGGGCCGCGGCAGGGCCGCGTCAGGGCGCCGCCAGGGGCCGCGTCAGGCCGCGTCAGGGCCGCGTCAGGGCGCCACCAGGGGGCGCGTCAGGGGCCGCGATAGGGCGCCGGCAGGGGCCTCGTCAGGGCGCCGCCAGGGGCCGCATAGGGGGCGCGTGGGAGGCGGCGTAGGGGCCGCGTAGGGGCAGCGTAGGGGCCGCTAAAAAAAATTTTAGGGCAGGGCGCAATGTGCGCGGGCAGCTAAAAAAAAAAATTTCTTATGGTGGGCCCTTAGGAAGGAACGGTCCCATGTAGGAACCCGCACTATACCATGTGAATCAAGAAGACAGGAATGAAATGACTAAGTGAAAGTTGGGTACAAAAGGCAAACCCTAGGCAACTGTACCCCATATGTGCTACCCCACTATAGCCTACAGTAGCTATGTCATATAACTCTGACAAGTGCAATCCTCGCTACTTCGTTCCATTGCATCCATAACAACGTCTTTGTTCTTAGGGCATTTATCTTAGCAGTAACAGCCGTGGAGCTCAAACGCCCCCGAGGTAAGCCACGTGTACAAATCGTAACAATCGTATCGTGCGATCGCCCTGGTGGTAACCATTATGCCTACCTGGTCAACATTATTGCCTGAATGGTAATGAACAGTATATTTCGAACTCCAAAATGTTAACTGATAATTTCAACCGTAGTGCACCGTACGTATACAGTATAATTCAGAAAAATGGTGATCGTGAAGAGAAAATGGTTCGCTTGTAATAAATTTAGATGTATAACTTGAAAATATGATTTTGAATTTAAAACAATAAAGGCTTTTTACATTTTGGTGACAGATTATTGTTGCAATTTGGTTTAGGAACCTAAAAAAACTTATGAATATAACGTGTATATAACTGTAATACTAGTTACATTATATCAACATATTTCTTCCGTTATAGCATCATAGCCGATGAAATATATTAATATAATATCACTAGTATCACACATATGTTGATATTAGTTTCATAATAAATTTTAGGTTCCTAAAATGCAGTGCAACAATAATCTGTCAACAGAATATAAATAGCCTTAATTGTTTTCATTTCAGACTCACATTTTCAAGTTTACATGTAATTTTATCACAATGCGAACCATTTCACTTATAGATTGCCGTTTTGCCGAGTTATAGTATGTACGTACGGTGTACACAACGGTTGAAATTATCAGTTACCAGTTTGGAGTTCTAAATGCACGGGTTCATTACCATTCAGGCAATAATGTTGACCAGGTAGGCCTGGCTGTTACCACTAGGGCGATCACAGGATACGATTCTTACGATTTGTACAAGTGGGTTATCTCGGTGGTGATCGAGCTCCATGAGTGTTACCGTTAAGATAAATGCCCCTGTTCTTTCTGGTGAGTTGATTGTTCCCTATCTGAACAGCAACATCACATCCCTCGCATCCCTAATCATCAACATCAACCACTGATTGCGACTACGTTCTTGATTTCGGCACTTCGTAACCCAATTACTGCAGTCGCTGAGACATCGTGCACGACACCTCCAAGCGTCGTCGCATTTTGTGCAGATATCGCGTACTGGTAACAAGGCGCTCTTACAAGCACATCAATTCGCGAAGCTCTCGCAAATGCCAGCCTGTGCAATTTGGAAATCCTACAGTCGAAGCGCATGCCTTTCCACCAATCTACATCCGCTATCGTAACAACTGGTCACTCGCTCGCCCTTTCTGCCAACCTGAATCCCCCACCCCTGCCCACCCACCTGCTCAAATATCTCCTGGTTCCCCCTCCCCCCCAGACCCCACCCTTGCTTTTCGTCATTCAACTCCATCCGCCATACAACATCTGTAGTGAGACGAGAATCTTGTTTGCTCCCATTCCCCCAACCAAGAAACCCAACGAAGTCTTTTCCGTCACCCAAACCAGTGCTCTTGACCAACGGCTGGAAACGAGAAACAGTGAAGCAACGCACCTTCAGCTCCTCGAGCACGGCCTCTCGAAGTGCACGTTTCTTCTGCAAGGGTGTTGGAAAGAAGTGTCAACTGACTGGGAATCCTCGCAATTTCATCCAACGACCTTGCGTCCAACGCGGCTCAGCCCCATCCAGTTTTGCACCGCGCCCGTCGACAATTGCTAGTCAGAATGGTGCAGATTATGGAATTGTGAGATGCAAAATGATTCTCCGGACGCGCTTCCTCGTTTACCCAAGCATCTGACTTGTTCCCCTCGTGCTTGTTTCTTGGTTTGCGCGGTCTGCGGGGTTCTCCCTCGCCACGATGTCATTGTGGCGAGTTGATTTTTGAGTCGACTAAAAACAAAACATTCTTTAAATTGTTCCCCTCGTGCTTGTTTCTTGTTTTGCGTGGTCCCCGGGGTTCTCCCTCGCTGCGATGTCGTTGTGACGAGATCGACGTCTCTCCGCGCTCGTCGCTCGCCGCCTCTCGTCGCCTCGCCGCCTCTCATCGTCCGTCCGTCGCGCGTGGTACACCTGCAGCCTCATCACGATGCCCTTTTCTCTCGAAGAGGTACGCACACGCGCACTCACACGCATACTACCCATGCGCATGCCATGGTGTTACTTTTGAGATGCCCTCTCGACGAGGTGCGCATGCCATTCTCAAAAGTAACACCAGCGATGCCCTTTCCCCTCGACGAGGTGCGCACACGCGCACGCTCATGCGCATGCCTATGCACATCCACCCTTCACTTGCCATTTATGAGATGCCTCACGGATCGTCTCACTTCATTTCACGCACAGGCGCACCCACCCTTCAACGAAAGCCGTACCTTTGCAACTTGAGGCGGATAAAAACCCTATACTTCCTGTCCAACTAGACGCAAGCCACGCCAAGGCCAGTTTGCGGCGCTAAACAACACGGAACATACCAACCAGCCCTATCCACGCAAGCCACGCCAGCCCTATCCTTCCTTTCTCTCAACCCCCCCGGTCCGTCACCCTCGCCTTCCAACCGACCTAGCACACCACCTCAAGTGGGCCGCACCCACGTGCACTCGCGCAAGCAATCTACCTTCTCTCACCTCCTTTGTCTCTCTCCTCACTTCCCCCCTCACATCGTCCCCGTACATTATCGCACATGACAGTATCACGTGGGGCACACCTACATGCGGTCGCGAATGCAGATGGAGAACACCAAGGGGCGCGAGGGCGTCGAGGTGATCTCCAGCGCACCGTTCAGAGACGCGGTTCTGGGCGAGGGGCACTACTCGCACGTCGTGCACCACTTTCAGGGCCGCGCGCCCGCGTGGATCCGCGCGCTCGCGCCGCGCAAGGCACTGCGGCTGGAGGAGAAGAACTGGAACGCGTACCAACGCAGCCGCATGGAGCTCAGCGTACGCGCGCGGGGGAAGGGACGAGAGAGGGAAGGGGGGAAAGGGTGAGAGGGGAGGGGAGGGGAGGGGAGGGGTGTTGAGAAACCAAAGCGGCATTTGTAATGTACCGTGGAGTGGTTGGTTCACCTAATTGTGTCGACTCCAATATTGCTTTGCTTCTCATACCTCGTGCGTGGGTGCGTTCTGATCCGTTCTCCACCTCTCCTGTCGCCCCCTTTCTCCACCTCTCCCCCGTCCCCCCCCCACAGTGCCCGTATTTCACCAACTTCAAGATAGTCGCCGACACGTATCACATCGCTGACCGAGGCGACACGGAGAACGTGAGTGTTGCACGTCTTGGGTTTAGGATGCTACTCGCCAGGGATAGGCGTACAGGTCTGGAATGCACAAACCTGACAAGCCTACTAGGTGACGGATGAGAAGCAGACAAGCAGTGTGAGGCATCGAGGGTGATTTCTTCTGCTTCTTGTGCATCCCAAACTCTTGCGTTCCACCGTTACTTGCGCTCCTCTTGCCTTGGTTTGCTCCTCAAACACACACCCCTTTCCCCCCCCCCCCGCCCCCTCTCTCAAACCCCCCCTCCTCCGCCCCCATTCCCTCCCCTCGCCTACTCCCCCATTTGTCTCATCATCCTCTCATCTTTGCCGTCCAGGCGCTGAATCTGTCAAAAGCTTGAGCTGGAGCTGCGCAAGGTGGACCATGTGGACATCGCGTCGGCCGACAGGGACATGTGGTCGCGAGCCATCGCGCGGAAGCGCACCGACCCCTCCAAGATTGCCCTGCTTAAACTCAACCGCGGCCCGCTCGCCCCGGGATGGCAGGTAATCATGGAGGGTAAATGAATGATTCCCTATTAGCTTGCATGCGCCTGCTCGTTTTATCATATTATCTCTAATGAAATTCGACGTCTTGATTCGAAAATTGAAAATCGTTTCCATGCGTTCTTTTCTGCGTGCAGAAAACGTATGAGCCTGTGATGACGTCGTACAAGGTGATACGCGTGGACGCACCCTACTGGGGGTTCGGCCGGCAGATGGAGCTCGCCGCAATCGCCGTGAGTGCTGCCGCGTTGACTGATGTCTCGTCACCGTTGCTGCGTTGATTTCATGCGATTGTCGCTACGCTTTTTGCCACCGTCAGAAACGCCGCACCAGTCGTTTTTCCTATCCTAACGCCCTCCTCTCTTTCTCCGCATCCACAGCTCCCCCCTTCCCCTTTCCCGCTTACCCCTTCCCCCTTTCCCTTTCTCCCCACGCTCCCCCATTTAATCTCAGGCGCACCGCGCGCTTTACCTTGAGGCCTACAGGAAGTGCTACGCATGGGCGGATGAGTGGTGCGAGCTGACTGTGACGGACGCGCGGCGGATCGAGCAGGAGAACATTGACAGAATGCGAGAGGTGAGGGCGCGGTGTAACATCTCCTTGACATCATTTGAGTTAGTTAATGCGCTCATGGGCATCCCAACCCAAGCTCGTATCGTGAACCACCAAAGCATATTACAACCCTTATTTCTATCATGTAACCTTTTTCCCGACGCACTCATTCCCACCCTCTGCCCATATCAGAGCCTTTCCTTGACTGATCGCTCAGATAACGAAGAATTCAGCGATGCAGTGGATAGTGACGAATTTAGCGATTCAGTAGAAGGTGAAGAATTTAGCGATGCAGTGGAGGGGGGTGAGGAAGGGAAGGAATCGGAGCGTGTGTTCAAGTCAGTAACAGCTCTACCTGCTGTTGCTCATGTGGTCGTGTGAACATGACAACATGTCAAACATATGCATATATGTGTTATAGTTTGGGGTAGGCTTAGTGGGGTACTTACTGTGGGGTACAACCCCTTGGGTTTTCACTTTGTATCAAACTCTCTCGATAGTCAATCACACTTTTCCCGTAAGTTTCTTAACATGGTATAGAGCATAGGTCCTTAGGACCTACGATTAGGGCCCACCACGATTATCTTACCTAGTGCCTACGCGCGCCTCGGCTGCCCGCGCGCGCCTCGGGCGGTCCTTTTTTTTTTCCCACGTGCGCCGTCTCAGCAGCCCGCGTAGCCCGTTTCGGCCCCACCTGTGCGCCCCCCCCTTACGCCGCCCGTGCGAAACCAGATTAGGCCACGCCAGAGCGGCCCGTCGCCCAGCGTAGCCCGTAGCGTAGCGACCAGCCCGCAGCTGCGCACGTGCGGCCCGTCGCCCAGCGCAGCCCGCAACCGCACGTAGAATGCAGCCGCGCACGCTGTAGCCACGCACAGCCCGCAGCTGCAGGCAGCCCACAGCTCGCGCAGTCCGTCGCCGTCCGTAGCCTACGGCCGCGCGCACTGCCCGTAGCCACGCGCAGCCTGTAGCCTCGTGCAGCAAGCCGCCACACGCAGGCCTCAGGCCGCTCCTGCCAGCTGCCTGCTGCCTGCCACCTGCTTGCCTCCTGCCTGCCTGCTTACTGCCTGCTGCCTGCCTACTACTTGCTGCCTATAGTCTGCCTGCCTGCCTGCTTGCCGCCTGCCTGCCGCCTGTCTGCAACCTGCCTTCTGCCTGCCTGCTGCCGCCTGCCTGCCTACTGCCTGCAGCCTGCCTGCCTGCCTGTTTACTGCCTGCTGCCGCCTGCCTGCAGCCTGCCTGCCTGCTGCCGCCTGCCTGCTTACTGCGGGCAGCCTACCTGCCTGCCTGCTTGCTGCCTGCTCTTGCCTGCCTGCTTGCTGCCTGCTGCTGCCTGCCTGCCGCCTGCCTGCCTGCCTGCTTGCTGCCTGCTGCCGCCTGCCTGCAGCTTGCCTCCTACCTGCCTGCTGCTTGCTGCCCCTGCCTCCTGCCTCTGCCTCCTGCCTCCTAATAGGTGCCTGCTGCCTACCTGCTGCTTGCTGCCTGCTGCTGCCTGCCTGCTTACTGCCTGCTGCCTGCCTGCTGCTTGCTGCCTATAGCCTGCCTGCCTGCCTGCTTGCCACCTGCCTGCCGCCTGTCTGCAGCCTGCCTTCTGCCTGCCTGCTGCCGCCTGCCTGCCTACTGCCTGCAGCCTGCCTGCCTGTCTGCTTGCTGCCTGCTGCCGCCTGCCTGCAGCCTGCCTGCCTGCTGCCGCCTGCCTGCAGCCTGCCTGCCTGCTGCCGCCTGCCTGCTTACTGCGTGCAGCCTACCTGCCTGCCTGCTTGCTGCCTGCTCTCGCCTGCCTGCTTGCTGCCTGCTGCTGCCTGCCTGCCGCCTGCCTGCCTGCCTGCTTGCTGCCTGCTGCCGCCTGCCTGCAGCTTGCCTCCTGTCTGCCTGCTGCTTGCTGCCCCTACCTCCTGCCTCTGCCTCCTGCCTCCTACTTGGTGCCTGCTGCCTCTGCCTGCTGCCTGCTGCCTGCTACCTCCTGCCTTAAGCCAATATGGCGACGCCTAACGTTCTAGCATTCGAGCCTGACGGTCGTCCCATCGAGTTCGGTGTATGGTTAGACGATCTCCAACTGTTCCTTCTGACTGATGCCAAAGATGGCGTTTCCCTGTTTGATTACGTCTCTGGCTCTGCCGTTGCTCCTGCTGCTGATGCTCCTGCTCTAGAACGCTCCCAGTGGCAGACTCGTGATGCTGCTGCACGTCTAGCTATTAGGAACCACCTGCCGATTACTGAGCGGGCGCATTTCAGCCAGCACAGAACTGCTCAGACACTGTACGACGCTGTAGTTGCGCGCTACTCCTCCCCGGCCACTGCAGCCATAGGTCGACTCATGCTACCGTACCTGTTCCCCGATCTTTCCTCGTTCACCACTGCTGAGGACCTAGTTTCTCACCTGCGCGCTACTGACTCTCGCTTTCGTGCCGCCCTTTCAGCCGAGTTCTGCGCCGCAAACCCCCCCCCCCCGATGTACTTCACTCTCTATTTCCTCGTCACCCGCCTCCCTGACACTCTTAGCTCTGTCAGGGACCACTTCCTAGCGCTAGACCCCACCACTCTCACTGTCGACGACTTCGAGAAGCACCTCCTCGCAGCAGAGAAGAACATCCTCGCTGTAGGTGCTGCTCGTGGCACTCCTCGCTCTCCCCTCTTTGAGGGGTGCTCCCCCTCCCCTCTCACCCCCTCCTACGCCTCCGCAGCTGCTGCTCACGACTACCTTGGTGCTGAGGGGGTCGGAGCGGCTTCCGCTCCCAGTGGGAAGCGTCGCAGCGGCAGGGGCGGCAGGGGTGGCAGGGGCGGTGGGGGTGGAGGTGGTGGAG